AGTGCAAATCTATATTTTTATGAAGCCCAAGTTTAGACCCAATAAACATCATCTCTGTACGGGCTCTCAAAGCAATGAAAGTAGCCTGCAAAATCTTGCAGAGAAGCCGGCAAAGTACGCCGGCTACCAGCTCTTATCTACAATCCTGAACAAAACATCCACAAAAAACTAATGAAAACAATGAAAACAATAAAATAGATTTTTTACCCTAACAACAATCTGGCATAAAGCTCTCTACTTTTTCTTGTAAAACCATCCAGCTGTAAAATACAAATGTTAAGGCAGTAACTTAGCACACAGTTTATACAAAAAAATATGACCCCTTAATAAAAAATTACCCTGATAATCACCCCTAGCCAACTCTGTAAGATTTTGTTATTTTGTGCAAACATTTAATCATTGTACCTTTTTTGTGATTTTGAAATCATACCAGTAACCTCTCTCGTCTGGTTCATCATGGTTGTAATTTGCCATTACATGTTGTCCCACTGAGATCTTGAAGGAAAAATAAACAGACCATAAGAATAACAATTAGGCATTGTTGACAGGGCTATGCTCACAGAATCTATACTTTTTCTATAAATAATTTTTTAAGCCTATTTATCTATTCTATTCAAATAACTTTTAATCTAACATATTTTGAGTGCATGTCACTGTTGTAGGTGTGAGTGAGATTGTGCTCTGAACACATTCGTATTCCACTGCCTGTGGAAATACCTTTTTAACTGCTGAACAGTTTCAGCCATGTCTTGGCAAAATAGAAGAGAATAGGCTCAGTACAGTCTACAACATCTGCTAATCTACTGTGTTCTGTATTCAAGTAGATCCTAGCCCCCTTTGGTTTGACACCAATCTTCGCTAGTAATTTCTTTGAGAATTTTATATTTAATCATACTGATCTCTAAATTTTTCATGTCATAAATGCAACTTAAGGGTACAATAGCCTTCAAAGACCAATTTTTTTTTAATTTTTTTTCTCTTTTGTGTCAAACTAGGTATTACTATGTTAAACACAGCATCCAAGAACATTTTTTCCAAAACGTTGAAACACAATTTTTTTTTTCAAAAAATTTATTCTAAAATTGAATTCTTTCACTGCCAAAGTGTGAACAGCCAATTACAACAAGTCACCACAAATAACCCTCAAAGTGTTTTTTTTACAGCAGAACATCCTGATTCTTGAATTTCAATCACGTAACCATCTCCTGATTTCAGTTATGCAAGGTGATATTTGCTATGTGTCACTTACAAAATTAGACTGTGAATGGGGAAAGATAAAAAGGGGAACAGCACTTAGGTTAAAGTCAAACAGAAACTTGGCTTTAAGTAAAAGAATTTTAAGAAATTCAACAAGGAAAGGCAACTGAAAAAATGTCACCAAAATGGATAAGGGCTTGTGGTAATCTTCTCTGCTAACACCCAAACAGGAACCATTAAAAGTTCTTCTTTGGGGTGCTTCAGCCTCTTTTAAGTTTCTTAAAATAAGCTTGAAATTGAAATTGCAAGCCAGCTTCCAAGATACATTTGTGTTTCTATGGACAGTCAGCATTTCCAATTCCATGTGGTCACCCAAAGGTTTAAACAGCTAATGTTATATGGATCAACTGTTTGGTCAAACTGTTCAAGTGATAACATAATAAGAGTCTTCAAGCTTCAAAAACACACTGCCCAAGTTATCTTGGAAGCTGATACAAGGTTGAACAGAGTGAAACTTTTTCAAAAATTAGAGCGGCCCCCTTTTTATGATCAAGTCAAGTGAAATAAGTGCGTTTTAGTTTTTAAGTATTTACTAGGAAGCTGTCCTTCATATAGGTACGATATACTTAAATTTAATGCAGACCTACACTCACGAACTGGTTGCTACAGTAAATTAAATCTCTCCTGCCCTCGTTTCAGTGGTGAAACCAAGGGAGAGGACCTTTAGCATATCTGCAACAAGGCTGTGGAACCAGCTACCTACTAACGTAAAAAAAAGAGACGACAACGGTTGCTTCTTTCAGAAAGGCCTTTTACAGACATTTTCTCGTGAGACACGATGAAGTAGAACATTTTAGTTCGAATGTGACAGTATATTAAATCTTGCTTGCCCTTGTTTCAATTGCAAAACCAAGGCAACTCAAGCGGTATATTTTATTTTAACCTGACCCAAGCGGCATATTTTACTTTACATAGTTTTTAGCTTGCGTTCTTACAGACCTGTTTTATAATCCTCTAATTCATTTTACATACATTTTATATATTTTCACTCTGATTATGGTACTTTTAGGATCGAGGGCCACTAGTTCATCAGTTGAATTACTGTTATGTGTTACCCTCCTTAAATAAAGTTGTTATTATTAATGTCAGCAACAATTTAAAACTAAAAAACCTACTTCCTTTTTACACAAATGTGTCTTTTGTAAGAAATTAATTTGGTATGAAACTTCATGCATCAAGATACCAAAAATAAAAACAGTAAGAGGTATTTCCCTTTTTCAAAATTGATCTCCTGCAATGGCTTCCAAAATAATGCATATCGCAAACTTGCAAAGCAACAAATAAGAATATCAAAAAAGCCCTACACAGATTTCATTACCATCCATTAGGATTGAAATTGTGCAGAAGCTCTATTTGTCCGGTCAGGTTTGGTACCCAATCAATTCACTCAAGTAAACATTGACTGTTTGAAATTGTTGCAACACATTAATGAACACAAACACTCAGCTTTTGGAAAACATCTGAGAGATGCTTACAATCAGAGGAACAAAGATCTACACCAGCAATTCACCATCCTTGAGAAATGTTGTTGGAAATCTGAATGCTTAATTTATGAAATGCTCTTTATCCAAGAAAAGAAACCTAAACTGAACACTCCATTTGACTCGATTAAAGCAAAACTATTCAGTACTTAATAATCAATCTCTACATTCCACATACAGTGAGACTTTGACATACATTCTTGGTATGTGAAGAACAAATGGGAATCTGACTTTTATAATTTGAAAATGATGCACAAGTCATCCAAATGTCATTCGAAATCATTATTGCCAATTTTTATTCTTAAAAGTAAGAAATGCCATGGCTAATCCAATTGTTGTAAGGCATAGCAACCAAGCAAAAGGTGACAAGATCATGATAAAAATCCTTGCTGCTCATTAAACAAAGTGCTGATTTACCTGTTCCCAAGGAAGGGCAGTTCTAGCAATGGGTCTAATAGAATTCTCATGAAGCTTAGTCATCTCATCTTCCTCAGAACTATAAGAATAACAAAACAGTCACCTGAGAAGCATTTTGCAGTAAGGGGTGTAAGGGTTGTATAGGAGGAAGGTATTTTAATTTCAGGCTGAATTCATTTTGATGAACAAACTATTACTTAAACCTAGGTCAGAGCATTTTTACACCAACAGAATTCCACAACTTTTTATGACCTAATCCACCACTTTTCCTCTATTTCTGTTTCTATTTTTATACAAATGTGTTGTGACTGTTTTTAATATGCTTTACAATACAGTCTTAAATATTTTCTCAAATATTCCTATAATTCATCTCCCTTGTCAAAAGTCTTTTGGCTTCATTCAAATCTTTTATCTCCCTAGTTTGACTTTAAGTACACTATAAAAGTTTCACATACCCATCAAAAACCACATGATACAGAATGGAACTTGGGTTGTTTTCATCTGCCAGAGAAATGTCCACAATCTTGGCCTCAAACCATGCACCCATTTTAGGATCCTTTCCATCTATCATTTCACCTATCTGAGTGATAATTATTTCATGTCATTGTTCTACCTATTCTACACCTCAAGTTATAATAATTATTTTACAACAAAAACATATTGATTTAAGTCCAATTAAGACGATTTGGTACCCATAATAACCTCTCTTCATGAAATAATGCTTTCAAGTTTTAGAAATATTTACAAAAGACCTAATTCAGCCAATATTTGTTCATTAAAAGATAGATAGTTTATGAAACAACAAACCTTGTAGAGGCTTTGAGGAACCTTTTCCTCTGAAGTACTTGGTTGATTCTTGTCCTCCTCTAACTCCTTATTAGCACATAAAAGACCAACAACATAGAGTCAAATGTCTACAGAGATATTTGTTAGACCCTATTGCCTCAAAACATCTTCAATGTAATTTTTCTAAGACCTGACTGTTACCAATGAAACAGAAATTACACCTCATCTGATTTGTGTTAGCTTCACACTATAAAAATATAACCTTAATGGACTGAATGATTGATAAGAATCATTACTGCACCTGGTCCTCATCTGAAACATGACCATTGACATGCATGGCAGACTCGTCATCTTCTTTATTGACTGATTGTTCAGTTTCGTCTTGGGTTTGCTTTCCATTATTGTTTTTGTCACTGGGTGGAGCAATTGTTCTTATCATTAACTGAACAATCTCATCAAGTCCCACATTATAGTCAAACAACGTGTGACCATCTTCAAGCTATAGTAACAAGAGAATAAAGAAGCATTAATCAAATAGATTACTTGATTTACACATGTATCAGAACAATTCATTGCACTGCATATCATTCACAACCAGGGCTATACAGTTTTTATTTTAACCATACAAGTTTCAACTAAAAGATAAAGAGTGTTTCATTTTTACATACAAAGAGTACCTGTGGGAGCTTGATTGGTGTTCAATACACCAAGGGGATTAACATGACGTAACCATCCAAAGGAACAAAGTTCATATCAAATAAGAAAGATGGAGAATTGTGGGCTTATTCTTCATGTAAAGAATGATGTTACTTGTTTCATCAAAAGCACAGGAAAAAAACAAATCTGCAGAAATAAACCTCTTTAGCTTGTACCTTTTGTTTATCTATATCAGGTCTCATGGGAATTCCCAACTTAATCTTTCATAAATCATGGAAATTGAAAGAAACAGTTGTCTAGAGTTAATTATCACATGACCTAACAAAAACTACAATCCAAAGAGGTCTATTGAACTCTGGAGCTCCAGATTGCACCTTTTCTCTACCTCTTAGCTACAGAAAACCGAATGGTAATCTTGGCTCCAGTGTCCTGTAAATGGCAGTGATCAGCACCATGTGAGTTATTAAAATAAAAATATAAATGATTCCGACCTTGATTGTAAAATAAAGAAATACATCATTTGCTTTTAAAACCCTGAATGTTTAGGAAAATTTTATTGTAATTCAAATTAAAAAAAAAAAAACATTCCAGGCCTTAATTTATCTTTCACTATCCAAGTGTCATACATCACTTGGGAGTTTCCTAGTCATCTGTCACTTAGACAAAGATGGAAGTGCAATATGTCTTTGATTATCACTTTCTCAAATTTCACATCCACAAACAGATTGAAAGAATTTGGACCTTGTACTTTGAAGCAGTTGTTTTATACAACACCAGTGCAAAAGGCAATAAATACACCTTGTTCAATGGTTTAACTTATAACACGCATGGATACATGTATTTTGCAAGTTGCAAGTTGCAAGGTATTTTTCTGGGTAAGGAAAAAACAAAGCATTGAGCAATGAGCAAACCTAGTGCCCATTTCCATCCATATCACTGCCCTTAACAACGGAGTAATAACGCAGCAGAATTTGTTTGTTCCAGTGCTTAATCTGGTAAAATGGCATATTTGTGGAATAATAAACATGGATATATATGAACATATTAGTCATTATCAACCTTCCGCTCCAAAAATTTAAATATCAATCCTCTGCTCTGTCTGCCATACATTTCTTATGATTGTACCCCCAAGGAATCTAGTAATAAATCAACCAGCATTCCAGAGTTAATATTTTTCTTACTTCTCATCACTCTTCTGCTTGAAAGTGTATTAACATTTAGGGGAGAAATTTGGTTTTTTCACACCTGAGATGAAAGGGTTGTTAAAAGAGCATTTGTCAACTTTATAGAGTGTGGCTGACATGTTGGAATACAATATTGTAGTTAACCATGGCAGCGAGTACGCACACTGCTTAAGTTCTCTTAAATCATGATTGAATCTTCCATGAAAATCAGCCCTCATATTATTGTAGTCTTTCTATTTTTTTCAACATCTCACTAATAAATCAATAACTTGGCGGAGATCCAAATCCAACCTGATGTTTAATGATTATAAAACACTTATTACCAGAATACAGCACAAAATGAAATGTGCCTTGTTGTTCAAACTAATATCTAAAGAACTTATAGTTGCATTTGTATCCTCCAATTGTTCCCAGACTTTGTTCAGAGATACAATGGTAAATTCATGTATATCTCAGGTCAGTGAATATTAAGTAAGACTACCGGAACCAACAGTATGCAAATTAAAACGTACACCTCACTCCACGGCTTTTCATGAAATATAGGGGTGGAAATTTCTCCCAGTTACAGAGTACTTTCCTAAGCCTTAAAGAATAAGAAATAAATCAAAAATCTGTTTGTGTTACATTAGAACCCACTAACTCTAACTCCCTATGGAAACAGAAAATACGTTTGAGTTAGCGGGGTTCAAGTTATCAGGGTCGGTGTTGAATTTCAATTTTCTTTTTATCAAGGTATCGTCATTTTACCACTCTTACACAGTCAACAGTCATTTTGGAACATTTAGTTTATTTGCTTTCAGATAAGAACTAGTTAGGGATATTTTGCCATATATATTTTGGGAATAAGAGGCTAAGATCCAGCACAGTAGTTAAGGACATCTTAATTTTTCAACAAAGATACCGTAAACAACTAATTAAATTGCTATAAATACATGAACGCACTCAAGAGTAATTCTACTGTCCTTGGGTAGTGACTGAAAAATACAGTACTATCCATGTTTGTTGAACACTTGGCTTGCCTACATAAAGTAGTAAACATCACATATATAACAAAACTGAAACTGAGAGGCGATTATGCATAATGAACAATAAAACTGGCGACATTTCACTCATTTGAAAAAACCTTATTTAGCGTCTGTTTCTTCCATGCCCTCAGCAGCAGATGCTTCTTTGAAAAATAATTTAATAAGTAGTTTGCTACCTCTGCCATTTTCTCTTGATTTTCTCAGCAACTATTATTTTTTGTAAATTTTATTATGCTTGCATCAATCGTGATTAAAGAGCGGGATGGGTCAATCAGCTATTTTCCGATACTTTGACGTTAATCCTCAGTCATTTTGATTAAAAAAATTTGAGTATTTAGGGTAAATTTGAGGCCAGGAAAAACAAAATTACTTCAAGTTGACAGAAGGTTCGAGTTAGCCGACTTCAAGTAAACTGATAGTGAATGACTTAAAAAAAGGGTTAAATCCGAAGGTAATCCAAAGGTAATCCAATTTTGTTTAAATACACAGGAGTTCAAGTTCTATAGTATTTGTTGAAGAGTTATCAGAGGGATTTATTATTCCCTTATCATTTCTTTTTATAGGTTTCAATATATATTCCCATGCATTACCTGAGAGTTCTATTTATCACATGTTTCCTTTAAAAGTTCGTTACATAAAAAGCCCAGCTTGAAGGACATACACATACTTTCTGTCGCCCTAATGTCATAAAATGGCTGGCAAAATAATTGCTTTACAAGTAGTGAGTTTCAAGTTGATAATTTATTACCTGTTTTCCTTTAAAGAATAGTCTTTGTATACTGGGTGGTACATCAAAAGCTTCTTCAAGCTTGATCCTAAGGTCTTCAATTTTGGTAAGTTTGCTCAAACCCCTAACACGTGTGTCTTTTTGGCCATCCATTGTCCTTACTCTGATCCACATGATGGCTACAATTAGAGAAGGACACTAAATCATTTCAACAAAATAAAATACCTCAAAAGTTTACCATTCTTCTTTATCTATCAACACACATGACCATGACACCAGCAAGATTTCTAATCCTAGCATTATGTTGGATGCTCGTCGCAAATGAACCTAGTGTATGGCCTAGTTCGAAAGAAATTTTTCATAACTCTGTAGTAGAGTAATAGACTGCAAAACACAAAGGTTTGAGGTTTGAATCCTATGTACGACTTGGACATTTTCTTTACCTTATGCTCGGGACAAAATAAATAACTTTTTTACTTACTTTGCCAGCACAATGCTGCATATTTATATTATGGTGGTTAGTTTACCATTGTTTCAATACGATGTTCAAACATGCGTTTGCCAACTGAGGCTTCAAGTTAACTATAGCTGAAATTTCATTTGATTTGCATAGCATTGCATTTGAATAGATTGAAAATAAATTGCTCGTTGATGTCTTTTTGTTTCGTTCCCTGCCTCTAGGATTAGGCAATTGTCTCAATTTGGCTTAACTACAGTAAATATTTTAACAGCGTAACCTTTAAAACAATGCTCTACTTCAAAAATGAAGAAAAAAAGCACTTTGGTTATATAAAAGTAGTACTTGCCATTTAACTATTGAAATAAATCTGTTAAATTTTTCCAGCAAACATTTGAAAATGATAATCTGACACATCTAATAAACTTCCAAAAAGAAACTGCAAAATTTCACTCAGATTTTTAATTGTGTCAGTTGTGTGCCTCTCTAAGAGTCTTAATCCCTACTTTAAAGTACATACAATACCTGTGAGATTTTCAAACTTCAGGAGAAAATATTTTTTCAAATATTATACTTTTTGGTCCAAGACTATTTCAAACAAAGTAAACATTCATCAGAACAACCTCATGGACAGGATGTGAGAGTAAACAGGATCTAAAACAAAAGCACTGATGAGTGGTAATTCAAGCCATCTTTTCTTTTTCCTAATACAATGCACGGTTGATTAGTTATGCCAATAAGAATTGGATACAATTTACCACAAAAGTGATTTGCATCCATAGGAACCCGGCAGCCTCTTGACCACAGAAATGTCAATAATGAAATTTTTGCAACCGAGAACAAACTTATCATAAAATTACTGTTCAGTCTGACAATTTTGTTGCGAAACAATGAGTTATATCACTGGTTTTGTTTTTTGATACAAGCATCTCACTTTTTTATTTATTATTTTCCTCACAAACAAACAAATTCATACCACCCATGGCCACTTTAAATGTGACTGCGAAAAGTGAGGAGCTGGTTGACACATTTCAAGATCAGATGTTTTATCTCATTAGCGTTACAACAACAATTTCGAAAATGGAGACCGAAACAGCACATATTTGCAAAAGAAGACCCTGTTGATATAGGGCTCAAAGTTGAGGGACGAACCATTTAAGTGATTCGGCGACACGACATAAGGCATATTCTTGGCTAAAAGAAAGCTACAATCCATCTCCATCGCGTGTTTACTGTTCAGTGAGGATTCATCTTTCACTGCATGCAATCCAATTCACACCCTCCGCAGGCCACAATGGTCGAGCCAAAAGTAGAAACCTGATCTAAGTTCGAATCCCACCGACAACGGATAGCGCATAACTATGGCGAGGGGTCAGATATAAACACGTAAAAAGATGACCTCTGTCATTGATCAAAATATAACTGAACATGCCTTGCTACGGGAAAAACCACGTGAACGGTTTAACCTCCTCTTTCGTCGATTAGCTGACGACGTTCTTCTAGATAACTGCACGCTAACGAGAAAATTCTACCACCCAAAATGTAAAACTGATAATGTTAATTCGCAAACTCTCCTAGTTTAAGCATTCAGGCGAGGTGACACAACATCTTTGTTGATGTTCTCCGGCATATTAGCTACTTCGAAAAAGCTTGCATGCAAATGACCTCGAATCTGTTTACGACCCTCTACAAATAAGTTACGATTCTTATTGAGTCTTGTGTTTACGAAATTAAGTTAGACCGACACAAATAGCTTTTGCCTACCGTATCAATGGTTCCAATTCCGTAAAAAAGCTGCAAAATATTACTAATTTGACCTCGTACGTGACAACAGCCGCCCCAGAACTTGAATATTTGCGGCTCCGTGAGGAATGGGTACTATCTTCAAATTGGCGGGAATTAATATAATCTTTGTGTAAATCGCATAATGTGTCACTTTGAGAAAACACTCAACATGGCCGATCGAGGTATGAGTGGTTTTGTGGAAAATCATTCAATCTTATTTGAAAAATAACTCTTTTTTTACCTGATTTTGACTTCATATTCTTTCGTAGGAAGCCAATTACAACAAGGAATCAAAGTTTTGACTTTTCCAGAGAAGTCTTTGCCAGAGTTTCCGGAATTGGATCTTAAAGTCCCTTGTATTTTCTGTGAGAAGGAATTCCCAAACACCTCAGGGAAAAATGATGCTGTGCTGCATCACATGCTGATAGAACATCAACTTGTTATCGGAGACGTTGGTCAAGTCTGTGACCTGAGGAGGTACGAGAACACGTCGTTTCAAGAAGGGAACTTTTTTTGCAACTCATCGTTGAGTTTCGACACCTTATGTCTCTAAATAATTAGATAAACAGAAATTTATATTCCACAGGGACAAATTCACCGGGTGGCTCTTCGTCTGAATTCGAATTCATTATGTTTTTCACAGGTATCTTTGTTACTGGAAAACAAGACTAAAAGAGAAACCCATAACAGAGGTGTGTCCAGTCATCAACATCAATTCCAAACCTGATGGTACGTTTGCTACATATTCCACCTTGATGATATTATTTGTTTAGTCCCTTTGGTACTTTAACTGGTGAGAATAGTTAGGAAGTAATCACCTTTAGGCCCTTGTTATGTCAGCTGATAATGCCCATGGCTGAGAGAGAATATTAGGCCAAGAAGCAAAGCTTTGGGTGCACATGTAAAATTTTGAGGACAATCTCTCACCCAAGGACATTATCAGCTGACTCCTTAGCAAACCAGAAGGAGGTTTATTTATTTTATAAACCTCCCATTAATTTTAATATTACATGTTGACAAAAAAAAGTGCAATTATTTTTTTGGACTTAACAGAGCAGCATTTGGGTAGTTTTTTTAAAGTCACAAAGCAAGTTTGTTTTTCATCCATGTGAAGGAATAAAGATGAAGAAAAGAAAACTCTTGAGTTGGGCTTTTCCTGAGGCTTTCCATTTTTTTTTATAGAAATAATCAGAGTAAAAATTTGGATGTAGATGGGGGTTATTGCATCAGAACTATCTGGTGATTTTGCGATGTAAAGTAGCCAATAGAATATTAATGGATGGGTCATGACAAATTGTGCTGACCCTTTGACCCCTGAAGAGTGACTAGCATGTAATTTTTCCCATACAATGTCACCCCCACATCAAACATGAAGTTCACTAGATTAAAGGAAATGATTACCAACTAAAGAAGCTTTTGGTCATTGACCCTTTCACTCCCTTTCATCTCTAACTGCTGCACATTTCTGAGAATTTGGAGTTAGATCAATACCTGTTTGCTAAATAATGGATGGATAATATTGGGAGAAGTTGCATGTTAATCAGTTGTGGGAGTTAAAGTGTTAAACAAATTCTCTTTGTTAGCACCTCAGGAGATGTACAGAGGACAGTATCGAGAATCTGCACAGTAACAATGGGATGGTAGGGTTAAGACGGAATGAGGACAATTTTGCTGTTAATCTTGAATCAGATCAGAGTTTCCAAAACATTCTGGGAGTTCCCATTTCATAAGATTGCATTTGATTATTAGAGAAATGCTATCAGTTAGTGATCCCTGTAAGAGTTGTAGATTTGATCCAATGATTAAGATTACTAATCCTTAAAACCTAACATTAGTATGAAAATTCTCCATACTGTTCTCTGTATTTCCTATGGTACTTACAAGGATAACTTTATTTGTCCAACAATCAATAGCTTCCTGAGTTTGCAATAGTTTCCTTTATTCTCTTAACCTTATGATGCTTGATTCAGGGGTGATATGATATTGATCTTAGTGGCTAAAGGGTTAACACAATTATGTGGACAAGAAAGAAGTCATAAATAAATTGAATTTGCTCTTAAAAATATTATTAATTTGTTTAGTTAACCCTTTACCCCCTAGCATCAGTATCCATGTGCTCCACACTATTCTTGATACATTTCCTAAGGAGCTGACAAAGAGAGTTTATTTAAAAATCAACAGCTGCTTTAGTTGGTGATCATTTTTCTCAATTCTCACAACCTTAATGTTTGATTTAAGGGTGATATTGTAAGGAGAAATTAGATGTTAGTCACTCTTAGGGGTTAAAGGGTTAAAGCTTTTCTTTTAAACTTAGAGTTCTCAATAGAAATGTTGTCACTATGTGCTTTAGTAGAATATAATGATTTGAAAAAAAATGTTTTTCATTTTGACAGATATTGGTCCTAAGATTCAATACTTCCTCTTGTGTGATTCACTTCCTGAAGATAGGAATCTAAGGGAAGATTTGCAACGTCGGAGGCTGGTAGGGTTAGGTGTTTCCTACTTACTTTTAAACCTTTACAGCCTAACATAAGAATACATGTTCTCCATACTGCTCTCTATGCATTTCTTAAGATGCATAAGGCGAATTTGTTTAACAATCAATAGTTCATTTAACTGGCAATCATTTCCTGTATTCTTGTTACCTTTAAATTTGATTCAGGGATGACATTGTAGGAAGAAATTTTGATGCTCGTCACTCATAGGGGTTACAGAGTTAAGTCACAATTTGGCCTGTCCTAGTTACCTGTATGCATGCATGGTTTCACCTTCCTAAACTAGAATCTGGTTTTCAAGTATTTTAATTAGGAATGGTAAAGAAACAACTTACAATTTCTTTTCTCGGAAGGAAGATGTTCTTGAGTGTCAGCAGCGGGAAAGATCAGATACACACTTTTCAAGAGGCTGTCTTTTCTGTAAACAACACTTTGAAGGCAATAGGTTTGTTGAACATACCTTGTGCTAGTGAGGCTTTTGAACATATTTTTCTTCGATTCTGATGTAGCTTTTTTATTGCTTAAAAAGAAGCTTGTTGGAACATGGTTAATGGTTAGTGGGCTAAACTTTGCATTAAGAAGCCTTGCAGTCAGTGTGTTGTGCTCTCAGGCAAAGTAATTTATTCTCATGAGGCCTCTCTTTACCAAGGAGAATATAATTATAATAGGTAATGAATAATTTTCAGGGAAAGCCTAAAACTATTTCCTAATTGTTCATACTGGAGCTGTTGCTAATTTTCTCTTTCCCAAAGACCTGAAAGCCACAAGGGAGTCTTTGGGAGTTGAAGGGCGTTTAAAATTATTTTTTTGGAATGATGATTATCATTCTTTTGTCAATTATACCTACCTGACAGGTGTGTAGATTCATGAATTGTAATAATAATTCATTGCTTTCAATAAGTCCTTCCACCTGCCAAAGCTATAGTGGGTTTTCTGTTGTGACTAACTGGGTATACTTTGGAAGCTTTCAAGCAAACTCACTGAGACCTAAAACAGCTCAAAATATTCTAGAGTTCTTTCAGGCAACTTTTACCTTTATAAACAAGTTTTGATAAAAATTTATTGATATTGTCTTATCATATATTCCAGCATACATTTCATACATTTCCAGTGAAAAAAGATTTTAAGTTTCCAAGAACACACTTACCCAAATTTTGGCACCCAGAAACCATATGTCATTTTAAAGGACTTTTTGTGTGAAACTCAGGGAGCAGGTTTGCACATCAGCAAATGGAAGACTTTAATTAGAAATAAAAGGATCTGTTAAACAATTTTAACAAAGGAGAGGAAATTTAATAATCATCTATGATAGTTTAACACCCAAAACTCTGTTTGAAGCCAGTTTATTCTGAATGGAAGTAACGGGATAACAAGAAGGAAATTGTTTTTCATATTATTCTCCAGCAGGTGCTTTACCAAGGCAGCCTCCTTCTTCAAATCTTATTGAAAGCACTGTAATATACATGTGGCAAAATATTTTCTAAAACAACTTTCTCTTTCATTTAAGCTACTCTATCTGACAACAAAAACAACAACAATACTTTATTTAAGCTGGCTAGACAGAGGAGCATGTGGCTCATTGGAACATGGGCATGAAAATAAATACCTAAAGATAAATAGCAATGAATATAATAATGAAGAGCTTAAATAGTGTAAATTTTAAGTTCTGTACTACTAGGTACAACCAAATGCTCCTATACTACTACGTACTACATAGTTGGATAAGTAGATGTGCACATGTAAAGAGGATTCAAGTTGATCAAAATTGTTTTGCAGACAACTGGCCAGAGACTAATCACATATTGTGTTCTATCGTTAGGTCATCATTATTTACACATATGGCATCAGATCATGGATTTAATGTAGGCCTTCCTGATAACTTAGGTGAGATAAGTATCTTATCTTAAGATACCTAAAGAATTGGATCAAAGTTTAATCCTTAAACTCTCTAAGATCTGATGATTGATTCTCCCCTCTAGCTGCTACACATTTCCTAGTTAATTAGTTATGAGAATGTGGTGTTAGATCTAGATAACAACTTTATCCTCATTACCTGTTTGATGGATAATGTATGGATATTATTAGGAGAAGTTACATGTTAATCGCTTCTGGAAATTAATGGGTTAATTATTCATGTGCTCTGTAGGAGCAGAAGGTTGTTTTTCAGTATCACAAATCACTAGAGTGCACATGTGGGTCCAAACCTTTTTTATGTAGGCTTTAACTTTTTTTCACTTGCATTCAAATGCTTATTACATGCCTAGTAGAGACATTCATATGAACTTTTTGTGTCAGATAACTGTGAAAACTATTTGGAGATTGTGCTGAGATTTTACCACGATTATAAGCACCCACCCAAATACATGAAGATATGCATCTAGATGATATGTGATGATACCAAATAACTTACCCACACAATTAATGTTTTTTTTCCCTTTTCTCCTAGTGAATGTAAATGAATTCCTAGACACTTTGGAAACAAAATTAACCAAGTAAGCTTGTGAAAATATTTTCTTGGAGATAATTCTTGTGTGTTTTAACATTTGTCATTGTATGATGGTGTTGACAATGATTATGATATAATGATGATAATGATGATGAACACTTCCACCACTATCAGTGTCATAAGGTTGAAAAATATCCTGCGTTGTTCATGCAGAAATTAGGCAAATGTACAGTAATGTTTTCTAAATTCAATTTTATGAGAAAATTTTAATTATCTTGTGTATTGTGGGTCTGCTTTCACTGCCTGTTACACCAAAAGTTCAAAACAAGTGAACTGGAAAGCAAAGTATGATCATTTATGCTCTCTGTAATCAAAGTTTTGAAGAAACCTGAACATCAGAGGAATTACAAGTTCAAATTTCCTCAAAACTATGTGGTGAAATTCAAAACTTAAAATAGAAATAGTTCAGATAGATTGTGCTACTTGAGAAGACAAATGAACATTGATAATTGAACTCTAGTCAAGTCTTACTTATTCTTATCTTGATATGAATATGCCAATGTAGACCTCTTGGACTCCTTTTGGAAGAAGTGAGTCTGAATGTTGCTCTACAGACTCATAAAGCATAATAAAACTTGCTTCTAGTAATTTTCTTTAAGTTTGCAGTGTTTATTTTGTGAGAAGTTATTCAAAGACAGAACAGCACTCAAAGATCACATGAGAAAGAAACAACACAAGAAAATCAACCCCAAGAATAAAGAATATGATCGATTTTATGTCATAAATTATCTGGTAGGTTTAAGGACTTGGATCGTTTTTGGTTATTGTTGTTAATTGATATTAAGAGGACATTCACAATTTAGAAGCCAGATCATTTGTAAGTTTTGAGGGGTAATGTCAAATTTTGTTTTTTCTTTTCTGTTGCGAAAGGTGACCTCGTCATGCGATGAACAACATGTCAATGATAATTTTGCTGTTTTGTTCTTTACGAAAAGGAATTGGGAAAAACTTGGGAAGACATTCAAAATGAAATTGAAGAGGAAGAAGATGTAGACTCTAAAACTGATAAGAGTGATGAAGAGTAAGTTTCATTGATCGATTTTTCATCTTTAAGGATATTATTGGCCTCATATGGGTTAATAACAAATGCAATTGAAAAGGCATTCAAAGTATTTTAGGTTTGCATTATGTTATCAACTACCTTCATTCAGAGATTTATGGGGAGCCATTTGTGCCAAAAATAGAAATCGCTTGTAATAAAAAGAAATCGTTAGTGCTAAAATTTCAATCGCTAGAGGTAAAACTCGATCGTTAGTGCTAAAATGTCAATCGCTAGTGATAAAACTCGATCGTTAGTGCCAAAATATAAATCGCTAGTGATAAGACTCAATCGTTAGTGCTAAAATATCAATCGCTTATGATAAAACTCAGTCGTTAGTGCTAGAATCGATTTGTTAACGATTTTAACTCGAACTGGTCTCCCGCTTGTTACGCGAAGATGAACCTATCACATCTTGCTTACTGTCTTGAAATCTGATAAGTGACAATGAAATGAGGATAAAGGTAAAGACAGACCGGCACTAACTCCCCATGTGGCTTTTGTGGTAGCGCCGCATTATCGCTTTCATAATATTTTTTCTCTCATAAACCAAACTTTTCCCTGAGGTAGTGCGCTGGGATCGGAAAAAACAAAGAACCACATCCGTTTCGTGTTAAATCAAACTGGATGCCACCTGTTCAGCCTACCATCGCCCTTGAAAGGGACTTGAGAGCCACTTGGAAAATGTCAAAGCACAGCTTGCAGAGATCACTTAAACCAAGCCGAAAAATAATTTGTCACGCAATGAGGTCACGGCTCTAAAAGAGTTGAAAAACAACTCTGCTTTAAGCCTCCAAAAAGCAGACAAAGGTACAACAACAGTTACAATGAATAAGATAGAAAAAAAGGAAGAGGCCCGGCAAAGTGCAACTCGACAACAGAGTTCACTACAAACCTCTTAGAGCATCGATAGTCAAAAATACACAGGCAAGGGTTAATAGGATCATTGAGCAAATGAATTGCGGCAAACACATTGATGACATGACCAAGAAATGGCTTTCACAAACTCCCAATCCGCCTAGAATCCCAATATCCTATACGTTCACGAAAATACACAAACCTATACCGGTCGGTAGATCTATAATAAGGACCTTAAGCAAGCCACGACAGCAACGAGGACGTGGAAAAACAAAAGATCTAATTGGCAGAACAGTAGCTCAGCACGTGCGTATTAAAACTTTGTACTTTCTTAGCCGTCTTCTGCAAAACAACAACGTGAAATCACCGCAATTTGAGTCGTCTGGGAACCAAAACCGCGACGGCAAATTATTTTAATTTCCATTTGGAACTCAACGCTTCTTTTATACGCTATGCTGAAGTTGAGGTGTGGCACCGTGTGAGACGGTAAACAAATGCAGCCATTTTTGAAATTCTAATCAAAGGCAGAAATTCATTTTTTTAATCGGAGTCTTCCTTAGCGTTGCCGTCCTGACTGCCTAAAGTCCGTAATCTCAGGTCGTGACGGCCCTACTGAGAGAATATCATCTTTTGTGGAGACACTACTCCAGCCTATCGCGCAAATGCAACAATCCTGGATACCACTGCTTCTATCGACTTCTTAGAAAAAACAAGATAGGCAAAGGCACTATTCTAGTATCAATGGACGTTCCTAGCTTGTACAAATATACCTCAAGATAAAGGAACGAATATAGTATGTGAAGCATACGAAAAGTTTAACAACCATAACGCATCTATCCTAACGCACTACCTTAGGGACATGCTTGGCTCAATTCTTAAAGAAAATTCGTTTCAATTCAGTGAGGAGAACTTCCTCTAAACACACGGAACAGCTATGGGTACGAAAATGGCAGTGTCATTTGCCAATAATTTTATGGCGGAAACTGGAACTAAATTAATCCTACAAAGCGAAACCAAGCCAAGAGAATGGAGACGTTACATAGACGACGTTTTTTCCCTTTGGGATTGCGACAGAAAAGAGGTAGATAGGTTTATTAAACGAGCTTATTTCCACCTTACTATCAAATTCACGGCCGAAATATCAGAGAACCAAATCACTTTCCTCGATAACAGATTGTTTAAAGGAGAAAGATTCGGATCCCATCTTGGACTTCAAAACCCATTACAAGCCTTCACCGAGAACTTCGCTTCGTGCCACCCATCACGCGTAAAATATGACTTCATTAAAGGCGAAGTAATAGGATTGTCTAGAACCAACTCTTCGAGAGAAACATTTAAAGAGGGCCTTTTGAAATTTAAACAACGCCTCAAAGCAAGAGGGTAACCGGAAAACATCATAGAAAGGTCTCTATCAGGGGTCAACTTTGCCTTTAGATAATCAGCTTTTACACGTACACAAAAGCCAAAAGGTCACGAACGTTAATTGCCTTTTGTGACAACGTACCACACGGCTTAATCCTTAAAAATAAAAAATTTCAAACAAATACTGATGGAGCATTTGAGTCTGATACACAATCAGCCCTTGCTGACAACAATTTTTACAAAACCTCCGATCATCTCTTACCAAGGAAAATCCCTTTAAACACGCTTGTGAGAGCAAAAATTTAATTTGAAGGCGATAATGCGACGCGACCACAAAAGCCACATGGGGAGTCCGTGCCGGTCTGTCTTTACCTTTATTCTCATTTTAATGTCCCTTATCAGATTTCAAGAAAGTAATCAAGATTTGATTGGTTTATCTTTGCATAACAAGCGGGAGACTGGTTCACTATATTTAGCGATTGATATTCTAGCACTAAAGATTGAGTTTTATCAATAGCGATTGATATTTTTGGCACAATTGGCTCCCCATCACAACAAACTTCATGATAGTTGGCTGAATTCCAGCGCTGTTGTTAGCCCCTAATTGTCACGTGTAATCAAGTAACTAAAGGTGTAACATTCTATCCTGTTGCACACTGGTAATTTGTGATTCAATATTTTTCTCAACATGTTATACATTCTATGTAGTTAATATTTAAACTTTTGTTCAAAAACATGTTTCTTTCACCATCCAAAGTCTCCCGATAACAAGAGGTTTCTCCTGTGTCCACATCAATGTTAAGGGTCTGTGTGAACGTTTAATACTAATCAAAAAACCGAAAAATCAAAGGTATCAGTTTAATTTTTTCTCTAAATCACAAACCAACAAACCAACAGACAATGGGTTATAGGCCTGAAGTCTCTCCTTCAAGCTGAGTGTCTCAGTTTGCAAAAATTTAAATCAATTAACAAACAAGGCGAGGCTGCCCTGTTTTCCTCCACTGATAAATTAACACCAAAAATAATTTCTCGGCAGGGATTGGAGTGACTGGAAGGGTGATTTACCACCGTGTGTTTGCTTGTTCTGTGAATCTTCTAGCCCTGCCACTAATGAGATTCTACAGCACATGAAGGTACACGTACATGTAGATAGAGGTGAAGCCAGTGTCCATAATTGACTGTCAAAAAAAAGTAGAATTTGATATTTGTCATACACCGGTTGATATTTACTGCCCTGAAGCACGCATTACATTGCTGATTCTACATACAAACATTGTCACCGTTCATTGCTTTGTCTTTACTTAGTTGTTGAACAACATTCTCTCTCTCTCTCTCTCTCTCTCTCTTAGGAGGAGCATTTATTCGATTTTTACACTATTAAGAGCTCTTTTGGTAAGTTTGATGTATGGCAACAGTTTAATCAACAACTGCAGTATAATAGTAAAGTCGATATTAATTAAAAACAGCACTCTGAACCCTCAAACTCCGAACAGTTTTCCTCAAAATTTGATTCACCTTCCAGTTAACAGATGATCAAAATGTACAACCCTTTCATATTGAGGGTGTAAAACAGTAAATTCTATATTAGGAATTGGACAACATTTCGCTAAGAAAATTGCTAGATTGGTCCAGAAAACCTGCACCTCTTTCCCGTGGTTAGGGAAACTTGCTTGATTTTACCTTGGGGTTCTCATCAGCTCCATGACATGTTATCTCATGTTGTAATTTGCCGTCGTCATTACTTTGGTTTTGGTTCTGCTTTTTCGAAACTCGATCAAAATGCACTATAAGAGGATCTTTCGAGTATAAGGTTTAACCCTTACACTCTGACAGACAGCTTTAAATAGCTTAGCGTTCAAGGTCAAATTCAATATTCTTCATACCTTGGGGTAACTTCGTGTCTTTGGAGCTCGTGGAGCTAATTAAATGTTACAGAAACCTACAACACAAACTCAATTTGGCTGAACGAAGTGAATTAATCAGTCAGTCAATCTTGATAGTAAAATTGTCAATCAGTGATAATAGCTAATTCACATTATATTTGTACATAGACATTTATTTATGAACATGCTAAAAGGTCTAAATTATTATTTTTTTCAATTAGGTCTGGACTTTTATCACCAAGTTAAAATCGTCAATTACATAAGAAGACAGGTATATGTTTATGTGCAGTGTCAGTTGCAAGCGCTTGATCTACACAGATTTAGACCAGTGTCCTAGAAGATGTTCATATCAGTCCGTTAGCGGATTTGGACCGACCCCGGCGATTTAAATCCCCGGACTTCTTTTCCGCCATTGAATCTCAACATTATCGGTGTACTTCTTGATTTTTATTTTGTTTTGTTTTGTTCTACTGATCTTTTGGTGTCAAACACCGTGAGAACTTTGTTGCCGGCGGCCGACCGATTGTTTGCCGACTGTTGGCCGACAGTCGGTTGAGGGAAGCTGTTCTTCACAGTTACCTTTATAGTGGGTTGGTTGGGAGGTCAGTCATGGTGGGTGGAACGAAACTGCGATAAGAGGGCATTATCATTAACCAGTCCCTACTGTATTTTTGCAGGTTTACAAAAATAACTGTATTAAGTGTCAAGAGAATTTCCAAGACAAGGTCACTGTTTTAGAACACATGAAAAAAGCTCAACACTTCGCTGTACCTGAAGACCGTACGGTGTGGGATCAACCACAGTGAGTTTTTATCTCCTTAATTTTGAACTTTTTAGTTCACTTTACAAATGTTATGTAATTGAAATGTTATCTAGTTAGATGTTTCTGGGCTTCTTGTTGATACGTTCTAGAGTTCGATGTTTCTATAGTTTTCACTGTTTGTGTTTTATTTGCATGAAACTTTTGGACTTTTTATCGGCGCAAGGTACACATCTGTGAGTGTTTTCTCTCTAAATTATTAGTGCTTCAGATTGTTTATTACACGGTCCTATGTGCCGCTATCTCGCACAGAGCACAGGTGTGGTGTCAGCTCCCATGGTTATGAAAACACAGCCAATTGGAAAAATCAGCGCGCAGCTTTTTGTTAATGGTATTTGGTTGCCGCAACACAAACAATAGGAACAATACACAATTCAAGCAAAGGACTACACGTCAGGAAAATCGATAAAATGTGCCTGTTTTCATTTCCAGGTATTTTTTCCCAACTTACGAAAATGACGCATTGTTGTGCAGTTTGGAAGATGACGAAGAAGACGAGACAGAGGACAGAGATGATTTTGCACAAAATACTGATGCATAAGGATCAAAGTAACTCAAATAAATAGGGTGCCTCACATTGGCTGATGGAGGGGACTCGGTTCTACAGCAATTGCGAGGACCTAGGCGAATGTTGGCCATTAAAATTACCACAATTCGTCTTCAGAATGCGTACCTGAATTCCGTTTACGAATTGGGTTTCTGATTAATCTACACCAGAAGTGGGTCTCCTGGCGAGGTTTTTACCCGTCACCGGCTTTAGCTAATACAAGCATGTGGTGTGTTCATCAAATTCGTTTGGAGTTTGCTCTGCATGTTTCATTGTCTCTTGCCTTCTGCTGAGCTTGCCTCTGAGCAGCTCGTGTCTCAGATTTCTTCCTACAATAACCCAAATTACATTATACTTGAGTCGATGAACGTTTTTTTGGAAGTTGGAGAAAGAAACCCCCCCCCCCCTTATACTCGAGAGATCGCACTTATAGCGAGGAATAAAACAACCTCGTTCGAGGAGGACAAATCCATAACTTTAGGATAGTTTGAGAATTGATTACGTTTATGTAATATTATTCGCAGTTCTTCTTCTTTTCTGTCCTCAAGGATGCGCTTAAAACCAACAAAATCCCTTAGTTATACTATGCCCAAACAAGAAATCGGCTCCTGCAACCTGATGGTTGCTATAACCCACAAACTGAGGAAGTGATTAACTTTTATTTTTTTTGGGGGGGGGGAGGCACACTGCGGCCTCTGATATTGTGTATAAAAACCAGCGTCACAGTTAGTAAGGTGTATTTATTGACTGATGATTTTTCCATGGAACAGAAGAGATTCTTAAGTGTTAGGTAGTGTGGACGGGAAATCTTGTTATAATCATAGCCCTCCATCTATCCAAAAGTATGCAATGTACGATTATTGGTACAGTTACAAAGTTAAATACAATAAAAAGACACTAATGATGTTAAGGTATTTCGTTGGGATTATCATGTCTACTTTCACATTCCCTATCTAGAACGTATTTTACAAAATCAACTGATTAACAAAAAATTAACCTGATTTGTACAAAAATGTCTTAGTGGTAATATGGAGTCAAATTTTCACTTTATCATGATCAGATTTAACATCAGTTTACATTTGAGCCATTAATAAACGCGCATAATTCTCTTTTGAATGTGGAGATTACTCTGCATCCGCAAAGAACATATGTACACAATATTGAACAAAACGAAAGTTTTCAAATCTAGTCAAGAGTGACCATGCATGTATGGTTATGCTGTTTAATAGTCGAGCCTTGGGTCTCGATTGGGTCTGCTTGGGGAGGAAATACCACTTCAATAAATTGCGAAACACGTGTGATGTGTCTCGATAGACCACGTACAATTTTTTTTTTGTGTTCATTATTTACAGTTCGTTTGTTTTCTAAAACACATGGATGTCCAATTGTAAACATTCTATTACGCTTGTTATGACCTCGTTGATCAGCAGTGATTGGATCAATTGTTTGTGGCGAGGCATTCTTTATAATTTCTTCGTCTGTATCGAGACGTGTAATCTGTCTGTGACCCCGCAAACAGTGTAAAGAACAGTTCTACCAATGTCCCGCACTTTGACGGTTATAGTAAATTTATCGTCAACACTGTGATTCAATGGGTTTGTAATAAGACAGCATTTGAGTTTGACTCAAGGTTGTGTCGTCAGGGGACTTAGGTTCTGTTTCTTGTTCAACTTCTTTTTCACTGATAGTCTGAAAGGCGCTCATTTTTTCTGTTTCCGCAGCCAATTCAAGTGCCACCGCCTCCGACCATTTACTCTGAGCGGCTTTCAGTGTGCTTGTCCAGGTTTCCTGTGAGTAATTTGAGGAAAAAATTATCAGAAAGTTTGCAACAGCACACAATAGTTTATTTTCCTACCGTTGCTGGAAAATCTAAGGAAAAGGACGGACACAGTTTTTTAATTTTACAAAATTTCAAGTACACGATGTTACCTTGAGATTTTGTGACGGTGCTTGTAGCGTGTACAATCCCACTGTTTGTTTAAATCTGCTGTAGTGGATTATTATGAACGAGTTCTTTAACGTGCTTCCTAAAAGAACGCAACAGAACAGATGTCAAGTCAACGTGAAACACATCCCTCATTCTTAAAGAATATATAGATTCGCAAAAAATATTTTTCACAAGTGTTACGAAAACAATTACCTGCATGTGTGGCTTCGGCATCAATAATAATGAATCTGTCCAGTGGTATTGGCTGAAAGATTGACAGAGTGAACAACACTGAGCATCGTGTATAACTTGAAAAGCAATTCTCAGAAGATTTAATAAACCATATCACTCATCAAAGAACACGCTACTTTTTCGGAATAGATTCGTTTCCTCATCAAATGAACTATTTCATGAGAATCACGTCCCTGTTTATTTTAAACAGAGAGAACTATTAAAGCACAGCTAAGGAGTTTAGGAGTAAAGATAATGTGTCTTACGCATTTTGAATTACGTACTTGTTTGTAAACTGTGTATTGCGCTCCCGACATGCTGCGTCTGACCACAGGAGGAGTGGGTGGGGGACTATCTGTCATTCCGGCCAGATTCAGTTTCTGATCAAATGAAAGATATGAACCATAATCAACAACATGCTAAGATATAGGGTTGTAAAATTTTGATGTTCTCTCATTTCTTCCCGAATAGAATAAATTGCGAAATCTTCAAATACAAGATAGTACAAACTCTTTCTCGTTTCATACCTTGTTTACTTTTAGAGGAAGTTTTCTGAATCTGGTTAAAAGAAGCATGTCGTCGAACAGGAATGCATAAACATCGACTTTGGCGTTTTCTGAAAGAGAATAAGGCATCGAAAGAAGTTGGGTACGTGTGTTAACTGAGCATTTCAACCAAACACAATCGTTCTGCCTTTCGTTTGTTGAGTCAGAATGTTTAAATTGATCAAATTCTATCTGGTATTTGCCATATGTTTCAGTTACATTTCACAGTATAGTTGTCCATGAGTATTCGGCTCAGAAATCGCTGTGAGCCAGTGAGTAATTACGTACAAGTTTAGGTGATAACTTACCAATTAACATGAGAGGTCCTTCGTACAGCAGTTGTCTTTTTGGACTTGCTAATAGGCTTTCACAGGGTTGCTTTGATAATATTCCTCTCAAAAACTACACAGAAAAAAACAGAATATTTACAAAACGAAGTTATCATCCAAAGACAACTAAGAGGCAGATAATTATAACTCCTCTGTTTTCCTTTTTCAAAATGTTTTTGTGAGTTATCTTGAATGGATATGATGGAAAATGATGTTATCTCTTCCGTTTATGATTGACTATAGCCATTTGGTAGTTTTCAACTGTAGGGCAACATGAAAAAGTGTTTGGGTGTTTCACCTATGACAAGGAACTTTTATTTGAACGTGCGGTTTAATGTTCTTATCGGAAGCCATGAGTTCATCAATAAACGATAGATTTTCGACGAAAGAATCTGAGCATGCGTTTTGTCTCAGTTATTCTGGAAATCAATAACAACATCTCACCTCGGGTACATATGTCTTTGGATCCAGCTCAGTAATGGAAGGCCAAACTAAACTACTTTGAAGTTCTTGTAATCTTTCATAGTTTGCGCGGGACTTCACTTTGCCTTCTAATTCCTCTGCAAGAAAAAAATTGAGCCCGAATTGGATGTCATGTTCTGAATCAATGTCATTTCGTACTGTCGCAATAGCATTGGTTAATTAACCAGCAAATACATTTACTTACGTATTGAAAGTTCTACTGCTTTGATGATAGACGAAAGAGAACCATGTTGCTCATCTCCCTCAGCAGTTCTTTTTCTGATGTTCTGTAAGTAAAATAGAATCATCCGATTCAGTGACAGATTGTTCATGAATTTAAAAGTTATTTCTTCGGTACTCATGTCTATTTTAAAGGAGAAGTATATCCCAGAAACTATATCATTTTCATGTCCGCTGCTAAAAGATATTTAAAATATTATGACAATGACCGCATTTTGATATATCAAACCGTAACCTTCATTTCCGAAAATCGTTCTCGAAGGTGCTAATTCTACTAAGAACGCCGCCAACATGTCCCAAATGTAGTTGAACTTTTAGCGCATTTTAAAACGATTTTAACGGCTAGGTTACTCTTAGAAGCTAAGACGTGTCAGCTGGTAACTTTTCATTCATACGTTTGAAGGATAGAAGGAAAAATACAATAGTTGCTAGAGAAAAAGTATCCTTTAAAAGCTTCTAATACATACCTTGAGTAGCAGAGGATATTTTGTAAGGTGTTGGAGTGGTGCCACTAAAAGATCCGTGATTTGGAGTCTATTACATCTACTGTCGGACTCACACCACTAAAGATGAATACAAGTATAAATGGTAAAAGAACAAAAAAGTTGTCAAAATAGTAAGGCTGGAGTAATACTGTTTCTTGCCTATCATTTTACGTATCCCCTGCGTCCGTATCGTACGTACACGACGCACAATTTCTGGGCCAATGAACCAATCGCTGACTATCAAGCTACCTCAAACTCCTTTTCTACTGTTGCTTTCACGTGATTTATAACTATAAATATTGAAAGACTGAAGTCTTTCTGGGTTGGACAACCAGGATTTATACGTGGAAAAAAATTCGAAATGCAGTGCAGAAAACTAAGTTTTACCTTAATAAACTCTTGGAAGTCTTCGTCCTTCTTCAGGGAATCCAAATAACTAAGGGCTTTGGAGTAATTCAAGCAATATCGCTGATACTGCGGGTGAACCTTTCGACTAAACTGTTAAGGAAAAACGGCAGAAAACAAAGGTGAAGTCTCACAAGGCAGTTAAACAAAATGGAATGAGAGCAAAGTAGGAAAGGCAATATGGTAGAAATACCAACCTCAGTAAAAGCCGAAACAACAGAAGCAGTACTTCCAAACTGTGTGGGTTGTTCACTTTGGAATACACGCAGAAGATTCTTTGCGAATCGAGTGCTGACCTGTAAAACGAATGTTATGAAAAGGAAATTTATAACACGGTCAAACGATGAAAGTGTTTTTCACAAGAATTATGAATATGGTGTCCCTCTTAAAGAATAATACTTCTTCGATACTTGGAGTCATCGTTACAGTGTAATCTTAAGTTCAATATTTGTATGTGCGTGTGAACGAGCCAATGCTTCCCTGAAACAATGCAACTGTGAGTTTTTTTCTGACCCTGGATCTTTCTCCGTAAAAATTAAATGTCAAGCTTTATTTCAGCTTCCCAATTATGTTTCCTTCACAAAAGTGTCTCAAGTGATATTCTCTTGTCTATAGTTATTACTGCTAGAATATCGTACACTTTGATCGATAGATTTCTCGGAACATCAGACAAACCCAAAAACTTTCCTCCCTTTGAAAGAGGGAAGGTAAATCCGTGTAACAAGTGTGCTTATTCAGCTTTCAAGTTCAAAGCTTGTTGCCTTGAAGTGGGGAATG